AAAAGAAAAGAAAAGAAAAAAAGAAAAAAAAGAGCTGGGCGTGGTGGGGCACCCCTGTAATACCAGCACTCAGGAGGCTGAGGCAGGCAGATCCCTGTGAGTTTAGGACCAGGCTGGGCTACATAGTGAGTTCCAGGTCAGTCTCAACTACATAGTGAGACCCTGTCTCAACAAACCAAAAAAACAACAAAACAAAACAAACCCAAAACAAAAAGCCAGGCGTGGCAGCACAAGCCTGAGGCAGGGGGATTGCCACAAGTGTGAGGCCAGCTTGGACCACACAATGAGTCCAAAAAAAGAAAACAAAACAAACAAACAAACCAAAGAGTATAAACTGGGGCAAGTATAGCTGGCTACTGTCAAGGGATGATTTAGTCAAACTATAAGTGGAGGCTGTAGACCCATCCTTCCTTTATCTGGGGTCCATTTCAGAGGCAGACCATAGATGAAGAAGCCAAGCTACCCTGCTTGAGAGAAGCGGCAGCTTCTCTTGAAGCAAATAGGAGTAGCACACAGTTTTCTACCAGTTACCAGTGGTCAGACTAAGAGAGAGCTGCTCAGCCACTCAGGCCTTGCCTCTCTCCTCTGCAAAGGGTCTCTGAGAGTACTCCTGATGGTTTAGGGACTACACGAAATGTGTAAGCCTCAATAAATGTCAGAGATTGTAATTATTAGCATCATCGTAGGCAGCATGAGTGCAAGGAAACACTTAAATCTAGGCCCACTCTTGCCAGCTTGGTGATCATGGCCAGTGACTCTCCAGGGTTTAGAATAGTGCGGGTGTGTAGGAAGGCCTCTGGGGTTGGCTGCTTGTCATTATTTTCAAATAATAGTATTACATCAATTACTTTTGGAACTGCCACACTTTGAGAATGCTGACCAGGGATCCCTACGAGATTTTTACTTTGCAGTTTCCTACCCCACTACCTGAACACACACATGCAGGATTCCAAGTTCTAGCCTCATTTAGGTGCTCTTAGCAACCTCGAAAATGTCCCATTATAATAACACAGTGTGATTCACTGCCTACCAAATGCTTGTAGTGTACCTGCTACTAGGCATAAGTCCACATATATTCCTTTTGCGGTACTGGTATTCGAACCCAGGGCCTTCACACTGCTTTTTCATTTGGTGTTTGACACGGTCTTGCTACTTCACCAAATTGTCCAGGCTGGACTCAAACTTGTAATCTTCCTGCCTCAGCCACACAGAGTGCTGAGATTATAAGTATGTACCACCACTCGACCCCTTTTTCCTTCTTGTAGTACTAGGATTGAACCCAAGTTACGTCCTCAGCCCTTTTTTATTTTGAGACAGATCTTGCTAAATCACTAAATTGTCAAGGACATCTTGAACTTGTCATCCTCTTGCCTCAGCCTCCCAGAGTGCTGGGACTATAAGGGTGTGCCACCACACCTGATTTAAATTTTTGTTGTTGTTTTGTTTTTCTGAGCCAGGGTTTTTATTAGTTTGTTGTTTTTTTTTGAGAAAAGCTTTTAAATTCAAACTGGGATTGAATTCACTATGTATCCCAGGCTGGCAAATTTGCGGCAATCCTTCTGCCTCAGGCTCCCATGCTGAGATTATCAGCATGTGCCACCATGTCAGGCTGAGCCAGGGTCTTGCTATGTAGCCCAGGCTGGCCTTGAACTCACAGCGAGCCTCCTGCCTCAGGCTCCCCGACGCTGGAATTACAGGCGTGCGCCAACATGACGGACCAGCTCTTAAATATTTCTTTAATCAAGATATTCCCTTTACCTCTATGGACCCTAACTTTTTTTTTTTTAGTAGCCCCTAATTTAATGGCTATCCCATTACAGGTCTATCTTTGTACCTGCTCTCTAATCCTTTTTCATTCTGCAGCCAGAGGGTTTAAAAAAAAAAAGTAATTTGAGCCAAGGCATTTCCTAAACTCTTGCAGTTTTAACCAGGTGTGGTGGCACACACCTATTATCCCACCACTGGGGAGTCTGAAGCAGGTGGATCACTGCACACGTGAGGCCAGCCTGAAATGTGTAGTGAGGCCCTGT